ATTTTAAGGATGTATACTAAGTATTTATAGAAAAATTAAAATATGAAGTTTGTGTTCAATATATATGTACATATTCAAACAAAAATGTATGAGACATGCATGTAACTTTTTAATTAAAAATTGTGGAAATTATATGCCAAGAAATGTCTTGTTTTTCTCTCTTCTACTTTCCTGCCAGAAATAAAGCATGGATATGCAAAATCATGGTAACCCTCCTCCCCAAATTCACACAGTCAGGATAAAACTACAGTACAAGAGCTATTAATCCTCTGCTTGGGGATATAGACTTGTATCAACAACTCTGGTCAGGAAACATTTCAGCAACTTAATGGTAGATTCTGCACAATTAGATTTCTGCTGATGGTTTTATGACTTTTTTTCAAGCATCCAGCCTGGACTACCCTGTGTGCAAGGAAGATGGTTTAGATGGGTCATTAGTTATTTAAAGGATTGTAAATTTTAAAGTTCATAATTCAGTTTTATAGAATGTTGTTTTAGAAGGCATGTGATGAGAAGGCAGAAAAGTGTACCGAAATGTTATCATTTGTATTGCTGGTAAAAAAAAAAATTGCAAACTAATTCATTTCTTCTAAAATGTTGTTCCCACTTTCACATAATCTCAAATAGCTACTCATTCTTTATACTGCAAAGCGCTTAATAAAAATGAAGAGTCAAAAATAACTCTTTCTCACTGTATGAATCACTCAGAAATGGTGCCAGTTTGGAAGCCTTATGAAAATATACTATGTATGGAAGTGTCTATTTAAAAGATGAAGCATCATTATTATTTTTAGCTTAGTTTTGGCTTCCATTGTCAAAAGCCACCTTTGATTTATAAATATGCTTTTGAATGCCCCTTTGAAACCCAAGATCCAAATGCTACAAATAAATGAGTAACTCTCTGCCACAAAGACTTTATCTGTGCCATGTTCATTAACAGAGTAAAGAGAAATTCATTAAACCTTGAAAGCAAGAAAACTCTGCTGTCTCTGAGTTTATCCTGATCAAGTTTACAGAGGGTTCTCCACTGGAGTAAGCTAAAAACCTAACCAGCATTTATCTTTATATAAGACCTATCTTGAAACTGCTTTTGATGGAGGCTATGTTTTGATGGAACCTGGTAGAGTTGCTGCTGTGGGGATAAAAATTTATTTATTTATTTATTTATTTATTTATTTGCCTCCCTCCCTCCCATTTCCCCCCAGTGGGGGACCTCTGGTCAATTCACAACAAACATTAAAAACATAAATATATATAAATACATAAAACATTAGTTAAAAACATTACTAAAAAGGAGAAGGGGAGTCCAAGAGGATAAAAAATCTGAGGCTGAAGACAGAAGGCCTCTATGGGGCTAGCCATCCCCATGCTCAAGGTATTCCCTCCCCACCCCAGGCCAGGTGGCAGAACCAGGTCTCCAAAGCCCTTCGGAAGGCCGGGAGTGAGGGGGCCAATCACACCTCTGGGGGCAGAATGTTCCAAAGAGCGGGGGCTACTGCAGAGAAGGCCTACCTTCTGGACTCCACTAATTGAAGTTCTTTCACTGAGGGGGTCCAAAGGATGGTCTCCATGTAAGCAGCCTTGAGGCATCCATAACATACCACATTGACAGCAAAATGATGGGCCTTATGTGATGACATCAGTAAGTAATGCAGTTGCATACTTGCAGCAAAACATTTGACAGAAGTATATAACTTGTGAAACTACAGAAAGGCCTTTGATATGCAACTATAAGAAAGATAGGGTTAGAATTTTTTTTATATATAATTTTTATTAAATATTTTTTAATAATCTTACATAAAGTAAGAAAAAGAAAAAAAGGAAGCAAAGAGAAAGCTTAAAAGTGAAAGAAAGGAAAAAAAAGAAAAGTAAGAAAAAATATACAAAGAAGATTCCAATCTTCTTTACAGCAGTTATAGGTACAATTATAAATTTACCTCTTACTCTATAACTTAACTCTTTTCCTTCTATAAACTATCCTGTCTAATAATCAAAACCATAAATCATAAGTTCATTTTTTTCTGTTTTACACAAGAAGTCCATAAGGGGTTTCCGGTCAGCAATAAATGTAGATATTGTCTTTTCTCTGATCAAAGAAGTCAGTGTAGCCATTTCAGCAATTCCATCATCTTCACCAACCTCCATTGTGGGTAGTGCCGAATCTTTCCATCTTTGGGCATAGAATAATCGTGCTACAGTTACCGTGTACAAAAACAAAATTCCATGACTTTTTTCCAATTGTCCGTCAATCCCAAAAGAAAAACCTCTGGTCTCAATTATATATTAATTTTTAAAATCCTCTGAATCAGTGTGTGCATTTGA